ATAATATCACCAAATCTTAAAAAATTCAATAATTACTAATATCTCTTAATTATGAGTATCATACCTTCTCTGTATAAGTAATGACTTCTTGAAGAAGAAGATCACTGATCTCTATTCACAGTGTCTTATAGACTCTGTGAAAAAGTCTTCTCTTACAGACATTTTATTATCTGTATTTTCAGAGTTTATTATTCTCTGATTCTTTCAATGTTGAAAGATCTTCAGTGTCAACTGTGAAAAGATTTCACAGATCTTATTCTCAGATATATCAGTCTCACACTGACTGAATAAGTCAGAGTTAAAGTGATTCAGTATTGTAATATTTGTAAAAGCTTATTTTAAGTCTACAAATATCTGCACAGTATCTTGAGTGAGAATAAACAGTCTTATTTTTCTGTCTTTCACACTTCTCTTTAACAGATCTGTAAGAGAAACAGTAATCTGTGAATATGCATAGATGAATTATCTATAGAAATTTATAAATTCTAGAAACATCTGCATCTTGCAGTATATTCACAGCACTGATCAGTTATTAATAGCAGAGACTCAGCTTCTGTTTATTAAGATGCTATTAATCTCAATAATATAATCTAAGAAATCAATCTTCTGCATGTAGAATAAGCATTTTTCAGTATTTGTATAAAGTTGATACTGTCTCAAGTGACTCAACACTTCTTGAACATGAGTATCATGTTCTTTCTCTATTTTCAAGAAGATTAGAATGTTGTCTAAGTATACTATGCAGAACACATTGACAAGGCCTCACAGTGTCTCATTTATATAGATCTGAAAGATGACTGAAGTATTACAAAGATTAAAAGATAAAACAAGATATTTAAAATTACTGTATTTGATATGAAAAGCTGTTTTTCAAATATTATCTTTATTAACTCTGATTCTATGATAGACATCTTATATATTAATCTTTGAGAACATCTTTGCTTCAGATAATTAATCAATCATCTCATCAATTAATAGTAATAAATAGTGATTCTTAACTATCATTCTTATTAAGACCTCTATAGTCTACACATAGATATAGTCTACTGTTCTTCTTGAGTATAAAGAGTATAGATGCTTCTGTCAGACTCTTTGATAAGTGTATTCAGTTCTTCAATTACACTTTCTCAAGATACTTGTACAGAATATTCAATTTCTTTATAGATAAGTTATAAAGAGATCTGTACAGTGCTATTATATCATCTTCAAGACAGATCTTATATCATATCTTAATGTCAGAAAACTTCACTGCTTCTCTTTCTGCAAAGACATTCTTATAATCTGTAAAGAGATATTATGTTCATTTATCTTTAATAATGAATATCACTGCTAATCTTACAGTGAGAATAATAACTTCTTCATCTATTTTCAAGTCTCAGTTATTCATTACATAGTATATTGACTCTATCTTTTTCTCAAGATTCTTCTGATGAAACTCTTCAGATTTCTCTATCACTATCTCTTTATTAGTAAGGCATAGACTGACCGTGTGACCGTGTCTGAGACCAGGACCAGATTTTTTGATAGTCTCATTATCAATTCAACTGATCTCATTACACGGTTTTAACATTAGATAGTAGTCTCATACTGTCTCAGTGAAACTTACTGTCTACTCTTGTCATATTTTTCAAATGAGATCATGATTTCCACTTCTCAATTTAAATTATTTTTATTGCTTTAAATGACTTTAAATCTCATTTGAGTGTTACCAAAAAGCGTTACTTTTTAAAAAATTAAAAATAGTCTAAAAAAAACCTTAAAATGTCTAAAAATAGTCACTTTATGCCAAGAATGAAACTAAATGAGATTAAATGAGACTACTTTCTCATTTTGTTCAGGTCATGGTTTCATTTTAAGATCTAATATATAGTCACTTTGCATGTTTTTTTAATGGCTAGTTCCAGCGGGATTCACGCCAAGAAATGTATGAGACCAGACCAAATGAGACCAAACATGAAATTAATGGTTTCAGCGGCCAGTTCTAGTACTGCCACATCTGAGTGACTTAGTCAATGAGAGAATTGTTTTCTCTCAATCATAGAAGATCTAGAATAACATTCTCATTTATAATATTAACAGTATGAAGAAGTAGACTGCTCTTCTTGAAGATTTCTTCTAAGTCTGTAATTATATACTTCACTTGAATTATGCTAAAATAGTGATACTTTATTTTATCAGTAAATTTCATATAATCTGATAAGTCTATCTTCTTTCAACTCTTCATCAAAGAAAACAAATAGAATATGAAGTTAATATTCATCTTAAAGTTAAGTAGACATCTCACTGATATCTTCTCATTCAGAGTATATATTATGATTATAATATGAACTCAGAGATATAAGAATTATTAATTCTTTATTTCTTTCTCTTCTTTATCTTTCACAGATATATTTATCAGAAGAGAAGTTAACTTTAAGAAGATATTATTAATTTCAGTATTCTATTCTTAATATTATTCAAGTGATAGCAGAGTTCACTCTGATCACACTTTTTAAGTATATATTTTCTAAATATTCACATTTATACAGATATATACTGATTATTTATTAGATAATATTAAAATAATAACTTATTACAGCTATATTACTCTTACTATAAGAGATATATAATTGATAATAAATATTATAAAAACTCTGAGAAGTAAGTATTTTAAAAGTACTACAGTTCTGTGATCTTGATTTTTTTTGTTTTTATTTTTTCTTTTTTTTCTTTTTTTTCTTTCTCTTTTTTTTTCATTGTAATTTTTTCTTGTTTTTATTTTATTTTTCATTTTTCATTTTTTTTTTATATTTTATATTTTTTTCATAATTAAAATTATATGAATTATAATCTATATTTAGAAAAGTAATAATATTTAATAATACTCTCTATTGAATTTTCAATAAATGAGTACTATGTTATAATATTATATAAGTCAGAAGTGATTTTATAGTCTCATTTAATATCATTCTCAATAATGAAATCAGAATGAAAATGTGACTAAGAATTCAAATATATTCTTTATCTGAGACTAGATTGTTATTTAAAAAGTGAATCTGAGATCTTTAATATTTGAAATAATGTGATTTGAAATTAATGTAATGAATATAAATTATAATCAGAAGTAATACTTTTAGATAATATAATAACTGTAAAGTTTGATTCTGATCTCAGACACGGTCACACGGTCAGTCTATGTATAATTAAGAGCTTTTTGATGAATCTATTAATGAGGTCTTATTTGAAAAATCGAGCGAGTTTGTGATGAAGTGGTTAATTCGTGACTAAAAAACTCATGAAATTTCTATTCTTCTACTTCAAAACTTTACTATATATGTATATAAATATTCACTCTAATTACTAATTTCTGCACTTTCTCTTTTTTCCTTCTCTAATATTTTCTACTTTTGTATTATAAGATCTATAAATATTATACTGATCTATTCAGTGTAGACTTCTTACAAAATAACTTTAAATCTTATTTAAGTATTATCAAATATTATTACTTTTTAAAAAATTAAAAATAGTCTAAAAAACACTTTAAAATCTCTAAAATAGTAACTTTATGTCAAGAATGAGACTAAATGAAATTAAATGAGATTACTTTCTTAATTCTTCTAAGTCATAGTCTCATTTTGAGATCTGATTAATAGTTACTTTGCATGTTTTTTCAATGACTAGTCTCAGCAGGATTCACGCTAAGAAATGTAATAGTCTCATCAGCCAGTCTAGTCTGGTCTGTGTTAATAATTACTACACCTACTCTAATCACGTGCCACCTCAATCTATTCATTTAGTGTAACTCGCGTAGATAGATTACACATACAACACAACAATGTTATTCTTCAAGAGATTATGAAGCTCTTCATAGGCAATGAATAACTGTAATAATGTGCTAAATTGACATCTTCACATGTCATTATAAGTGTGCTTAGATAATTTATTAATTAATTGAACTCATGATGAACCTGAGATCAGGTAGAAAGCCTGACTTAATGAAGAATTACATGTTAACATATAGAAGAAGAAATTCACAAATATCTGAAGCATAAGAAGAATTGAGTGTGAGCTTATTAACACCTGTAATGAACTGAAAAGTGACTGTCTCAGAGACTTATGAGATGAATAATATGATTATGAAAGAATAATCTGATAAGTTTAACAATAAATATAAAGACTCAGTTAAAGATATCAGTAAGATATTAGATAATGTGAGAGACTTAAGTGACTAGAACAACAATAGCTCAGTAAGTAAGAAGACTTATATAAGACTTAAAATTGCAAGACTTCAGCATGAGATTGAGTGAATAAAGATCAGTAAAAGTGAGACTCTTGTAAGTAATAAGATAAGAGTGAATCTGACAGAATATCTTTAATAGAAAGAGAAGATATCTGTTATAACAAAAGTTCTTGAAGAATTCAGAAGTTAAGTAAGACTTATCAAAAGATCAATGATTCTCACTGAATTCATTAACTACTCAATATAAAGAGAGGAAATTCTTTTAACTACAGAACAGTCTGAAACTGATGATATTCTTAAAGATAATAGTCTTGATAAGAATACTACTATGAATATGCAATGTTTCTGAAAAGAATGCAATCTTTGATTATATAATTATATATGATCTGCAATTGTTCTGCAGGTCAAGACTCATTTCACGATACTTAAGAAGTTCAAATTATCAGCTTATACTCTATAGACTATCATAGAGGATAACTTTTTCAAGAGATCTGCTATACACAGAACTTGTTTGTTTGAAGAGCTTATTAAAATAATCTTCAAAAGCAAAGAATCTGACAGAGCTTTCATTAAATAATTAATTATTATCAGAACTAATTATATCTGTCTGAGATATAAGATTACAGATGTTGTGTTTTTCAATAGATTACTGATAGAAGTCAATAGAGATTGAGCATTCTTCATAAAGAATAGAATGAACTAGATTGATAAGAACAATTTGAGACCTTTAGAAGAAGACTTCATACGATTATACTGTGACATACTTCTACACCTTTCTACTATGGAAAACAGTAGTACTGAATTCATGAAAAATCCTGCGAATAATACTCAAGACAAGAATAAGAAAGGCAAGGACAAAGACAATGACAAGGACAAGAACACTGAATTCAAGTCTGAACATAGAGATAATGATGCAAGAACCTACTATCATTGTCAAAAGATTGATCATATTCAGACTGACTGTTGAAAGAAATACTCTGAGAAACATTTTTCAAACTTCAATATCTATAGAAACAAGGAAAAAGACAAGAATGTGAAAAATACAGGTGCTGTTTCTGTTTACAATATCATGAAGTAAGTATTTTGCATGAAAGAAAAGACCTATGTAGGTAATCAGACAGGAAAAGATATCTGAATTCTAGATTCTGAATTGAGCACTTATGTCACATCTCACAGAGATCTTATCATGGCAAAACCTCAGAAGATGAAAGTGATGTTGAAAATGACAGATGAAATAGTGATTTCTGCTGCAGCTATAGAAGATACAAAGATTTCAGTGAAAGAGATGAATATGCTGTTAAATAATGTCTACTATATTCTGAAGTTAGAAGTGAATCTCATGAGTATGAGTAAGCTTATACATCAGAGTTATACCTATAAGCAGTTGATATATGAGAATAATCATACTATATTGATTATATCTTCTGACTGCATGTTCTCATTTACAGCAAGATTAAATAAGAATGATATCTATGAGATGAAAAGGCTGATTATATACAGAGACTTGATCTGGTTTGCTATACTTAATGATGATTTTGAACCTGTGAATATATTACAGATAAAAGATGACACAATATTGACACTATCTGATAGAAATGATACAAAGGTTATAGAACTTATGATGATGCAAGACATTAAAAGCTAGAATATGTGAATTCTGCAGATATTGTAAAAATGACAGCAGATTTATATCTAGAAATGAGAATAAAGAGTAACAGAGATTTATCATTCTGTAAGATCTGTATTCAGATAAGAATAACATATTCAATCCTTGCATCTATAACATGAGCTGTTAAGCTGATAATGAGATTCTTCATCAATCTGACAGAGGGTGAAAAAACACTTTTCAATGAGAATGATACTCTCACTAGAGAGAGTGCAAGCTACTAATTGAGTATAATAGATAATATAATCTGTTAGAGATGAACAATTCTTATAAAGATTATTATTATTATTCTTCAATTATAGATGTATGCAGTCAGAGACTATGACATCTACCTGAGAACCTTTAGTTCTCAGAGTTTTTCCTATATCTATAGAGTCAACTATTATACATTTATCAATTTCAGATATGCAAAATCAGAAAATTCCAGCTCAGAATATAAAAACTGTTTACAAATTACAGTATTTCAACACCTTCTGATACTTTGAAATTATTTGAAAATATCATGACAAAGGAAAAGAGAACATAGTCTTAAAAATAGACATATTAAATAGATAGATAGAAAAGAACAGAAAGAAACAAGTACAGTAAAGAGAGACTATAACAAAATAAAATTATTAAAAGATAGTGTATAGCTGTTTTAATAAACTATATCTAATCAATTTCTGTCTCTTCATATTCAGACACTTCTGAATTCAGCCATTTTCTTGTAGCTGCTTGAGTTTCTGATAGAAAGTCTATTAAGTATTTAATTCCTGTCTCAGTTGAGAATAAGAACCTCATATTTAATTGATTTAAATCATACTTCTTCTTTAATCTGACTCTGAGACTATTGTATAATGCACAATGCATTACAATATACTCAGGATTTTCATTCACATTGCAGAATGAGCACTCTGTTGAATCAAATCTATCATCAAATCTTTGTATATAGAATTCAAAATAATCATGTTCTAGTTTCAGCTGAATTATGAATGAGAATATTTTCTTTTTACATTTAATGAAACATGATTTTCACTTTGATTTTGTCTCAAATCTTGAATAATGTATGCTCTTCTTTTGTTTCTACCAGCTTTCATTTCACTTATTTAAACAAGATTCTTTTATCTTTCTCTTTATAAAAGATTAAAATACTGATTTTTGAATAGATCTGCTTAATTCTGAACCCTTTTTTGCAGCTGAATCAGTCAATTCATTGCCATGAATATTTATATGAGCAGGAACTCAATGCAGATAAATTATCAGTTTTAATATTCTTCTCTTTTGAATTTTCAAAACAGGGTTTAAAATCAGTTCAAGATTCATTTGATTATTATGAATCTGACTATTTCTAAGTCTTTTTAAAGCAGCTTGACTATCAGAGAATATTCATATCTCTTTCAAACTATTTCCTCTTTTATGAGATTTTATTTCAATAAGTTTGAAAGCTTTCACTATTGTAAATAGTTCAGCATCAAAGACTTCAAATTCACAGCCTAAATTCCAGAAATCTGAGATAAAATTGATATTATCTTCAGTATAAGCAATGCCTGTGCCTAATCTATTCAAATTCTCATTTTTTGAGTCATCTGAGTAAATCAGAATAGAGTCTTTTATATTGATTGTAGAGATCTTTTTCAAATGCTGTTCATATTCTCTCTCTTTAGATAGTTCATTTATTTGTAAGTCTATGAGAGATTCATGCTTTTCTCTTCAGAGAGATATCTTCTCATGATCAATTTTCTCAACATTTAATGAAGAAAATTGATTCTTAATAAGGGAACATAGTTTATACAGTTGAGAGAGTATTTTCTTTAAAGCATTATTCTCATTTCAATCAAGAAATCTATTTTAATTCAGTTCATTTCCTGAGTTAACTGATGGAAATGAAGAAGAGACTCTTCCTCTGATTATATGATTTAAGCGCATCTTCATGACTCTCAGAGCATAGTTTATACAGGCCTTTTCAAATTGAATAGCAGGAGGTGGAATTGAAGCTTCAATTTCCATTGCTTTAATAGAAGATGATTTGAATGCTCTCAGAATTCTTCTCAAAGCTCTGTTTTATAGACTTTGAAAGAGTTCAGTGAAGTTATCTTGATTGTTTCATCAAACTTGAACTTCATAATCAGCTACTGAGGTAATACAGGCTATGTATAACTGTCTCATAGCCTGAAAGAATAGACCTCTCTCAGTATTCAATAGTCTGATTATACTATTCAGTAGTCTCTCTGCCTTGATGATTCTTTGTTGAATATAATATTTAAAATTCAACTTGGAGTTTAATCATACTTCTAGTCATTTGATATTCAAACTGGGTTTAATCTCTTTATTTAAAAGAGTTAGACTTAGTTCTTTCTCATTAAACCTGGGAAAAAAGTGAATTAACTCAGTTTTATTCATATCAAATTGAATTAGATTGATATCTGCTCTAACAAAGATTTTCTTTGCTGCTTTCTCAATCACTTCTAAATTCTCTTTGATTGTCTTTGAACTGTAGAGTAGATCAATATCATCTACATAACTTGAAGATCTCACTATTTTCATCCCTTTATTCTTGAATAGATATGCCGTGTATATTGCAAATAAAACAGGTGAGATTGAAGATCCTTGTGGTACTTCTATTTTTATCTCAGTTTTATCTTGTTTTCTTCCATCAAAGAATAGTTGTATAATTCTTTTAGACATGAAACAATTAACTCATTTTATTAGAGAAAGTGGCAGTTTTAACATCTTCAAAGTTTGAATCATCTTAGACTTTGAAACATGATCAAATGCATTCTTTATATCAATAAAAACTGCAGTTGAGATTCTTATAGTGAGAAAGAGAGAATCTACTGCAAGATTAATGAATTTTATCACAGATATTGAGATAACTACACAATATTAAGTTGAACCTCTACACTGAAATGATGAAGAAGAGTTCAAGAGTCAAGAACTTAAAACCTACTATCAGAGTAAAGAAATAGTGTATGAAATAACTACATCTGATACATCACAATTGAATGACTTAGTGAAACACATGAATTGAATAGTTGCAGAAAAGATACAAAGCCTACACTTTAATAGTAAATTAGAAAGAGAACTTTGAGATGAAGTAATATAAGCTATGATTATAATGATCAACACATTCTCAATATCAATAAAAATATTTGAATGTAAGAAAGAAACATCATTTATATCTTTTAAAGCTTGAACTGAAGTGCAATCTTCTATTCATTGAATATGAAGATGAGAGTGTAAGATCTACAAGAAGAATTTTAAAGTGTTGAATAAGCTCATAGATAGAACTGATAGTAAGAAATAACAGCTGATTGAATATCAATAATTACATCAATATCATGTGTGAGATTCTGTTGCATGTCATCTTGAGATTGTATGAAATATCATATTTAATAAAGCTCTTGACATGAGTGCAAATACATCTATAAATACAGTGAGAGACTTCAATAAATTGTCTAATAAATTGAATATTCTGAATATCAGAGAAGAATGACAGCACTACTTACTATAATATCTAGTGAAGAAAAAGTCAGATGTTTTGAAGATGATTACTAATAAGAATTTAGAGAGTGTAATTAATTCAATCTATCTTCTAGATAATAAGACACAGCTTGTTATAAATGAAGAGTCTGAAGACTCTGTTAATAAGAATAATTCTGTTCTAAGTGTTCTGACAGACTGATCAACTATACTGACAGAAGTCAAGAGAAGCTCAGACTAAGACTATTAGTATGAGACAATGAAAAAGAAGATTAAGATATTTGAATAGAAGAAGATATATATTATTATTAAGAAGACTCTGAAAATAAATATTCTTACAGATAAATAAGTATATAATCAGAAGTTTAATAATAAGAAAGAAATCATCTATTTTAGAGCTTACTAAGTGATTAAAGAGTTCTTGCAATAGCAGAGTATTTATTATATAAGATTGTATACTGCAGTGATATCAGAGTCTATATCATGTAGTCTATTCACTATATCAACTGTCAAAGAATGAAAGATTAAATTGATTAACTATATATTCATGTTTTTAAATAATATATTACCTCAAAATGAGATAATCTATATGTAACTACTCACAGATGTTAAGTACAGCAGAGAGAGCTTGATAAGATTATTTTATCAGAGTCTATATAAAATGAAGCAAGCTGTAAGAGTATGATATTTTCTTATAACAGAGTATCTGACTATATTGAAATTCAAGATATTATCTTATGATGATGAATTTCTATATCACTCTATTCATAAGATCTATCTAACATTGCATATTAATGATTATTAAATGACAGAATCTCAAGAACAGTAATTAGACTGAGTATTAAGAGAGATTATAAAGAGATTTGAGACAAAGAATGTTAAAGAGATTAAGTTATATCTTAAAATAAAGATTAAATATCAGAGAAATGATGATCTAGTGATTACATAGAGCTGTTATATTAAGAAGATTCTTGAAAATTTCAGTATGAATAAGATAAATTCAGCTAACATTCTGATAATAGCTAGTATACAACTGGAATTCTCATCTGATGAGAATGATAAATTAAATAATAACTTTACAGCTATAAGATATTATCAAGAATTGAAATCATTGCAGTATTTAGTCTTAAGCAGCTGATCAGATCTGGCATTCACAGTCAACTATCTCTCATATTTTAACTCATGTTTATACAAAGCATGTTAAGCAGTGTTGAACCATGTTCTACATTATGTTAAGAAGATGAAAAATCATGATATATTATATAGAAAGAAGATTGATAATGAGAATCTGAGTTCTGTAACATACTGTGATTCAGACTGAACAAAGATGAATTCTTAATACAAATCAACTGCTGACTATGTTATATTAATTAACAGGTCACTGATCTTATGATAGTTGCAGAGATAGATATCTATTATTAAATCAATCACAGAAGCTGAGTATATTATAGCTAGTAAAATAGCTTGTGAGATAATCTGATTAAATGATATGTTATATAATACTGAATTAATAAATGATGAAAAAGTGAAAATATGCTTATATCTATAAGTTAATAATAAGAGAGCAATTGATCTAGTAAAGAGAGAATTCTTAATACAAAGATCATATTACATTGAGATTAGATATCATATTCTCTGTGATTTGATTAAAAAAGAGAAAATTATGATGAAATATATTAATTCTACAGTGAACATAGCTGACAGTCTTATCAAGTCACTGATGAAGCCTGCATTTGAAGATTTTATCAAAAGAGTTGATATTCAGGAAATTGAGAAGAAGGAATGATTGAATGATAATAATAATACAGTGAATCAATGAATTTTGCATATATTTCTTGATTTTTACAGTTATTGCTGTATGAATGTCTTTTCTAATGAGGAAATCAGGGTCTGATTGATGTAATTAATTATTATTGCATTTTTGAAAGATTTGAGGATGAGGGAGGCCCCGGGTGGCGGCTTATAGGCCACAGTGTAGCAGGGGGGGTGTTGGTGATTACTACACCTACCCTAGTCACGTGCCACCCCAACCTATCCATTTAGTGTAACTCGCGTAGATAGATTACACACACAACACAACAACGTTATCCTCCAAGAGTCTGAGCCAACAGATTCAAGCAAGAGAGGCTGATTATGTAATCAGGTATATATCTCTCCTTATCAACGTCAACGCTAACTTCATCTTTTCATCTTTAAACCCTCTTCTTGTCTTTCAGTTTTGTGGGAGACAATCCTCCGGGATTTATCTCAAGATTCTAGTCAATTTGTTATCTGTATTTCGACTTATCAAGAGAATATCTCTGTTGCCACACTCTTAAACGCCCGTATTTGCGGAGTTCTTGCTGCTCTGAATCTCTAATTACATCTTCGAAACTACAATTGTTCATGACATATATCTTCTCTTTCGATCTTGCGCAAGAGAATACCTCTATTGGCTCTTTTTGCGTGTTGTTTTCAAACCACATAATTAATTTCATTTCTGTTTCAACATCACATTCATTTAAGTTAGAACCTGCCTTCAGAGGCTACAACTCTACCTGAGAGCTGGTAACAGCCACCAGGCAGCCCTTCTTCCATTACTCCTGGCAAATCTTCCATTTTAAAGTCAACTGATACCTCCCAGTTCCAAGAATATACCTATCAAGATATATATATCATTTGGTCCCAATGACGTCGGAGCCATCAGCGTTGGGGATTCCAGCCCCTCACCCTGACCCTAACCCGCACCCTGGAAATGGATCCCCAGAGGACAAGGTTCGCAAGTTTATTACAGAACTCCTGGATTCGCTCATAGATGGCCTAACGAGAGCTGACGGATGCCCGTCAATCACTCTAAGACGGCGCTCAAATCATGCCCAATTCTCGGTAAATCCGGAAACATGCGCTTTACAATGTGACACTGCTGACCTTTCCTGCACCTATTCATGGCCAGGGAAAACCGTGTTAGAAGGTTGGCGTTTCGGTAGGTTACGCCCCAACCCAGTGCGATGCTATGTTTTAGCGTATTCCTTGGGCTTGAATTGATCTCATTGTTCTTCTTATATCATCCAGCGGTCCTGTTGCGAATCCTTGGACATATATCAGAGGCCATTCGGGGTGATTTCGTTAGCTCGAAGCGGGATATCTACTATCTTGATCCTGTTTACTTTGGATCCCAGAGTGTAGTAGACCGATGCATTGACGACATTGCCTGTACGATTGGTGTCGATAGGACAGCGTTGCACGTGGTATTATTAACCGGAATATCCCATTGCCTCCGATGATGGGATCTTGTTCTTGCTAACTTGTGAATTATACAAGGCAGCAGCAGCCAAAGGACTTCTTGTGGGAAGCTTCAACATCACACTTAACGATGACTCCGTGGTAGACCCGGGCGTTCATTCTGAGGTTGCCTTTGCTAGTCCAGGAGGCTCGTTTGCACGGGTTATTGACGTATATATATATATAGGGCATGCTCGTTCCTCGGGCTGAAACGGTCAGGAACTTCGACATCTCAGCTGTTCGATGGATTCTGGTTATCGAGAAAGAGGTAAGATAACAATGTACATACAAATGTAACAACAAGTTTATAGCCGGGTCTCGACACTGACAAATCAAACATGAAAGGCGACATTCCACAGGTTGGCAACTGCTAACTACCACAAAACTTCTGCTGCCGGCCCAGGGATCCTTATCACGGTAAGGACAATCCCCTTTATAATTTCCCCTTCATATTCCAATCAATCGTGAGTATTCTAAAATCGCAATAATGTTCAGGCGAAGGGGTACCCAGACATCTGCACCCGTGCATTCCTCCACTTATTATCCAGAACCCCAGGATCAGTATCAGGAGCATTGCGCTCCAACCAACCTCCTATTTTCATGCTAGTTGACAGCGACCCAGACGGCATTGCTATCATGTCTACTTATAAATACGGCTCGAGGGCGCAGGCACATGACAATCCCAACCTTACCGTTAATAAAATGCAGTGGCTTGGCCTTCAATCCTCCGAAGTTGCTTCTAGAATTGAAGTATATCAGCAGGATGATGACGTTCTAATTCCCCTGACTTCGCGTGACCGGAAGAAGGCTCAGGACATGTTGTCCCGAAGCCCTGTTTTCGCAGAGGATGGGCCAGAGCCGGCCTGGAGAGGGGAACTGCAGCATATGCTCATGTCAAATGTGAAAGCGGAGATTGAGATATTGTATGAACGGGAGTGGGGTATTGAGAGATGGCTGGACAGGAAGTTGCAGACATTGATCAAGAGGGTGTTCTAAGCCGTTTCAGGGGAGCGCTGGCGAGAGATACAAGGAAGAAGGCAACGGTGATCGTATAAAAATCGCTGTATAAGAACAAAACCAGTCCATAAAAACTCCACGCCCAATGAACTAAAACTAATGAATCTCTCAATCAAAGCAAATCATGTATCCACTAACCTAACCCCTACCCCGCTCGAAAACAAGACACAAAAACGCCGATAACTCACATTATATAAAAGAAAAACAACGCTCTATGAACCCTTGCTCCTCCAATTCCCCCCCCTCGTATCCAAAACTCAAAGCCCTAAACTCCTCCTAACCTCACTACGCACCCTCTTCTCATACTCGCTCCTCTGATCCCGCCACATCTTGGCCGCCTCGACATTTGCCGGGCTCTCATCATTTGGCTCCGCAAGCATACTCATGACGGAAATAAGAATCTTCTCGACTGATTGGATGGGGCTCCAGCGCTCCGACGCATGCTCGTAGTGGTTCGGGTCGTCCCCTGGCGGATGCAGGATGGAGATGCACACGGTGCCGTTGGGGTATACTACGTGTAAAGAGTACAAGGGAAAACATAGTTAGTCGCTTGTAATGTGCTATACATGAACATGTAATAAATATCCAGGGTGATCACTACAGCGCGCGCCATCATCATCCAAGCACAGAAGCACAGCCACCGGATATTATATATATTTCACATACCATTCGGATGCCAAACCCCACCACCCAGAAACTTCATCGTGGGCGGGCTGAGCGGGTAATCCCTGGGGAACTTGAGTTCAGCAGCGAACACGCCGCCCTCAAAAGGTGTGCCCTCGGGACCCTGGATCAGCGCCTCCCAGTGAAACATGTCATCTTCACTGACGGGCCCGGCTGTTATGCCGTCTGGTGGGCTGGTGGAGAGGAGCTTGTATTCGTGAAAAAGGCGCTTCTGGGCGACGGAGGTGGCCATGATTGTATAGTTTTCGTAGTGTAAGTCGCTCTTTAGGCCCTGAGAAGGGGTTTTGCGGATTGCGGGGGAAGTTTTTGGCGATGTGTGATGTGCTGATAGTGAAAGTGGCGGCGGCTGGCGTTTTGGGGTATTGTGGCGGACATATTACTTGCGAAAACAGAATTTTCCCAGCCCCCTCTGAAAATTAGTAGCAAAACACCACCAAAAAATCAAAATATCTGCATTTCTCTAGAATCATTCAATATCATTCAATACATGTCTTTTTCAATCAAATATCATTCAAATATACATCTTTCTTCTCTTTATCATCAATATGTCATCTCAACTCTGTGATTTCAATTAATAAGATTGTATATCTTCTTAAGAATAATTATATATCTACTAACTTACTAAGATTATATGAAGTATTAATTATTATTTATATATATTAAATTCAATGAAATCTTCACTATTTTGAAACTGCTAGAGAACTCTGTTCAATATATAATATAAAGTTAAAGATTATATCAGATATCTCTTTAATTCTGAAGAGATTTAATAAAGATTTTAAAGCTTTTTTATATTATACAGTTAAGAACTTCATAAGAGAAAAAGATATAAAAGAATATTTCAGATGTACTTATATAGAATAATATTATAATAATTAGAAAGATTCAGATTACAATTTATTATAATATAAATTTAAAAGTAAAAGTAGTACAAGATCTGTTCTTATCACTATAAATAGTAAATAAAGATACTTTGAATTTCTGTAATTTTATCTATTATAGTGAACTTTTTAATTCATCTCTTATAATTTGAAATATACTCTTATTAATATTTATATGAAGCAACTGTTTTCTTATTAATTAATTAAAGTATTCATCAAATTAAGATATTAAACTACTTTAAATTAAAGATAAAACAGTGAATTTAATAAAAGATTCAATAATAAATTCAATAAAAGATTTCAATAGTGTATTCAATAAAATAGTTCAATAGTAAATTTAATAAAAGATTTAATAGTGAATTTAATAAAAGATTTCAATAGTAGATTTAATAAAGAATTTTAATAGTGTATTTAATAAAAGATTTAATGACAGATTCAATGAAAGATTTAATAATAGATTTAATAAAAGATTTAATAGTGAATTCAATGAAAGATTTCAATAGTGAATTCAATGAAAGATTTTAATAGTGTATTTAATAAAAGATTTAATAATGAATTCAATGAAAGATTTCAATAGTGTATTATAACAGACTGTGTCTGATTAATTATATAGACTATTTTATTACACTTCACAGATTTCTACTGCTTTATTCTCAATTGTCAATTCTCAGTTATCATAAATATGTACAAATTCTCCCGGCTCAAAGCTTCACTATGTACATTATCACATATGTGTATAAATATTCACTTTAATTACTGACTCTCACACTTTCTCTTTCTTTTCCTTCTTTAACATTTTTCACTTTGTTATATAAGATCTATCAATATCATATCAATCTATTCAGTGTAGGTCTCTTACACTTGAAAAACATTTATCATCTTCTTATTAAAAATAATTATTCACATATCATCTTCTTATTAGAAACAATTACTCACTGAGATATTCAAACACATAATAACATGTAAGAAATAAAGAAACAGTTAAATAGTTAATCAGATACTGAGTTCTCAGATAGAAGCTTACTTATCAGTCACTCTAACTCTGTAATAAGATCTTATAAAGAGAATGTCAGTAAAAGACTTAAGAGTTCTGATACTACAGATGTATAAGATATTTATATAATTACTCTTCTTTCAATTTCACAGATATCACATATCTGATGATTGATCTAATCATGTCTAATAATAGTATGAAAGAACTATCGAATACAAGTATAGACACAGTATCACAGTGACTCTGAGTAATGTTGAAATTACAACAGCAACAGATAGCTGATATGCATGTAACTCAACAACTTCAATACAAGGAAATTTAACAATTAACTCAATAAGAAACTCATGCAATTTCAACATCTACAGAATCAAATATAAAAGTGCTGAAAGAATACTTAGATACTCTCACATATTTTAATACTTTTAATCTCACTCTCTACTCATCATGAAGAATGAAAATGCTTGTAAAACTGAGTATAAATTAAGATATCATCAGTTCACTAATCAATTAAGATTGATATATCAATGAATAATTGAAGAATTGTGTGAAACAGAAGTTCTATTCATAAATGAAAGTATGTAAATCAGCATTGTAAATATCTGATAATATTATTAAACATCTTGATATTCTGTTCTGAGATACTGCTATGCAACAGAAAGTATTAGATTAATTACAGAGTATCTGACAGAGAAATACTTCTTCTACAACATTTATCTCTGACTTCAATATCAAGATTCTAGAAGCAGGTGATCAATCTTGAGAGAATTGAATAAAGATTAGCATACTGAAGAAGATATTAACTTTTGAACTCTTATAGACTCTTGTAAGTATTGTAACGTGATGAAACTGAAGCAGTGACTAGTCAGTGATGTCATGTAGAGATAGTTGTTTAAGAAGTCATATAAATGAGCTTGACTATCTTGCTTGAATAGTGAGCTCATAGGCTACAGAGTTATTGTGAGAATATCACAGATATAATACTTAGTATACTAAGAAAATTATATAAGAAACATAGTAACTCTTATATATATTTCAGTAGAAGAAAAATGAATCACTGACTTCTTTAATGAGAAGTCAGTATCTAGCTATTCTATATAGATAATAAGCAGATACTCTTCTTCTATTCTACAAGTGAGAATAGCTGCAGTGATATCTCAGTGATATCTCACTGTTAAGAAAGAGTAATCTACTGATCTTATATAGAAGTGAGATTCTTATATTCATTAATCAGATCTTTCTATGATATATCTGAATGATGTCATAGAGTGATTGAAAACTAGTTCAGATGAGATGAAATCATCTGTATAAAAGTAATAAGCTGTGTGAAACTGCAGCAAGGTCTTGACATGGCTGAGAGTATAATAATACTCTTCTCTTTAAAAGTATAGTTCTGATGCTCTTAAGATTACTGAATTGAGAGTTATCTTTGTTATATAGCAATAGTTATCAATTAATTGATAGTGTATATACTGTGTGTGATATAAAGAAATAGATGAGTTTTTCTGCTAACTGCATAGATCTTTCTTTTTTCATCTTCATTCAAATTAAACATGTGATAAGTGAGTTTCTTATATATTAATTTGAAATGTGAAAAATGTAGTTAATAAGTGACTTACAGATCTCTCATCATATTTCATTCTATATATGAAATTCTCTGTAAAAGTGATGTATTTCAGAGACAAAGTTAACAGTAGTGATAGAATTTTTCAAAAAGATTCTTCTCTTCTATGATATATTTTTCTTTCTCTTCTTCTCAATTGTAACAGTGAGTGTATAAGAGTATCATTCTTGAAGAATAATAAAGAACTTATTCTGATGTTTTTTAGTAAGTAAATATCTTTATAATGTAGCTGTGATCTCTGTGACTGTCAAGAAAGCTCAGTTGAAGATAAAGATAACAGTGTCAACAGACTGCAGAAGCACTGCTCTCATTGTTATATCTTTTTCTTCTTCTTCTTCTACTTCTCTTACAGCTGTGATGATAGTCACTGTGTCTTGTAGTAAGATGTCATCTCTTCTGCTGATTAGTGTGTCTATGTTCAGTTCTTTCTCTGTCTCTTCTACTACTGTTGTGACACTGCTTTCTCCCTCAGTTAACACAGTGATGTATGACTCTGTGTAGTCATTTAGAGAGAAATCTGAGAAGAGCTTGATTTTAGAAATAGTGACTCTGAGAAGCTTAATCTGTAGTTCCTCTTTCACAGTATATCTGAGCTCTACTTAGAATACTACTGAGTTGAGTCTGCAGAGTCTTACAGTTTCTTTGTCTTCTCTCTATAAGAAGGCTTCAGTATGATCTCTGATCAGCACTGTTACTTATCTACACTGTACTAAGCAGCTGAAGAAAAGAGATATCTTATATATCTATCTCTTCTCTCACTTCTGTTATTTTCATTGTATCTGCAATAATGACTTCTGTCTTTCTGTAAGTATTATCTACTCTACAAGAAGATATCATATCAGCTCTGACAAGAAGCTCAGATGCTCAAGCAGTACAGAGTTAGAGTCTTAAAGCTTTAAGTATTGATAGATTTTATCAAGACTGAGAAGATCTCTCTTACTCATCTATAAAAGAAGATAAAAGCATAAGTCTCTGAGATGAAAAAACATCTCAGAATGACTGATCTTAAGAAGAAGTCAGCTAGTATCACTGTTGAAAGTATCACAGAGATTAATCACTAATTGAAGAGAATCTCACTTTAGTTAAAACAGATAACTGAGATGCTTTATAAGTTCATAAGTTGATAATTTCAGTATCTTTTATACTCTTCTACAGTATGCATACTCTTCTGCAGCATGCTTCTCTATAGTGTCACAGTACTAACTTCTCAGCAGATAAAGATATCAGTGCTGAAGACTTCAACAGTGAAGAATAAGTTTAGTGAGAATGTAGTTATTAATAAGTAGACTCTGAGATTCTCTCTTTTTACTTTTTCAGTGAGCTGTGATCTCATTAAAATAGCAGTGATCTGCAGATCAATAATATTAATTTTTTTATTAATTTCAAATATTTCTTTTCTCTAATCACTTCAGGAATTTTATACTTGTGTAGTCTCATTAAACTTCTAAAAAATTCTTTGAGAGAAAATAGAAGAAGAGTGTTACAGAGCTTATAAGATATCAGCTTATCACTATAAGATTATCTCTAAAAAAATTCTTTAAGAAAAAATAAGAAGTCTTAGCAGTATTTCTTACTCAATATCTCTGATATATAACAGAGTAATCTCTACTAGCTGTCTCATAGCTTACAATCTCTTTCTCAGTATTCTTCAAATGCTCAAGCAGTTCTTATAAATTCTCTGATAATAAATAATCTTCTCATTTAATAAGATATTGAAGCTTATTATAATATATTTACTTATTCAATATTTTCTTCATAAGATATTCAGTATTACTCTTAATCTTAATATTATTCAGCTGAGATGACTCTGCTCTGAGATATTACTTATAGAGCTTTAAATAGAAAATATGAAAAACAGAATGAATTGATTTCAATTCTGTGAGTAATTTCAACTCATATATCTGCTTACTTATTACTCTTATTACTGAGAAAGATTCTAGTCATCACTCACTGAGCTTCTTAT